GTTGCATGTGCCATCCCTGTCCACCTCGCCGAAGTTTTCAACTTGGGCTGCAGCGCTCTTTGATGACACCTTGACACATCCAATTGCAGAGAATCTGACTGACCACAAAGAAAATAGAGGAGAAGCTGATTTTGGCAGACCCACACCCTCTTCTTCTTTGCTGCAAGAACTAAAGCCAGAGCTTTTCACAGACATGTAGCTAGATGCATCCTGTATCCAAGTCTGCTGCTTGAAAAACTAGTTGATATCTGCTACCCATCTCTTTGAAAGCTTTGTGGTTGCCTATCAACTGGCACCCAACATGTATGTGATTTGCGCATGTGTGCCCTCATCCCCTGCCCTGCGCCACCTCTTATGGTGAGCGCAGAGTATACCACATCCTATATGAAAACAGCTTTAATATAGTTTATACTCCTTCACTTTAGTTTTCCCACTGAAATTTGCTTGAGTTTACCACTTTGTTCACATTTCAATGACAACATTCTGGTGATAAACTAGAAAATGTTTTACTGTTATTGGTAGGGAACCAGCCCAGTGTAACATTAGCCTTGGTGAGGCTCAGCCAGCACAGGTTCAGCTCATTAATACTCAGTCCTCTGGAACTGGATGCTGCATAATTAAGACTAACTCAACATTTCTCAGTTCGCACACCCCACCCCTGAACATAGTATAAATACAGAGGAGATCAGATGTCAACACAATGTTTCTTTCTTTTTTTTTTTTGACTACAAGGCAGGTTTAGAGATTTTTTTTTCTGTAAAAAGAAAATACCTGCAGCAATGGACAATAAAACAGGACCAAGATTCAGTGATTGCACAGCAGTAGGCCGTCATGTAATTTAACTAACTCAAGAAGGTTGATTTAGTCACTATTTAAAGGATTCAGTGATTGCACAGCAGTAGGCCGTCATGTAATTTAACTAACTCAAGAAGGTTGATTTAGTCACTATTTAAAGGAGACAGGGATTGCACAGCAGTAGGCCGTCATGTAATTTAACTAACTCAAGAAGGTTGATTTAGTCACTATTTAAAGGATTCAGTGATTGCACAGCAGTAGGCCGTCATGTAATTTAACTAACTCAAGAAGGTTGATTTAGTCACTATTTAAAGGATTCAGTGATTGCACAGCAGTAGGCCGTCATGTAATTTAACTAACTCAAGAAGGTTGATTTAGTCACTATTTAAAGGATTCAGTGATTGCACAGCAGTAGGCCGTCATGTAATTTAACTAACTCAAGAAGGTTGATTTAGTCACTATTTAAAGGATTCAGTGATTGCACAGCAGTAGGCCGTCATGTAATTTAACTAACTCAAGAAGGTTGATTTAGTCACTATTTAAAGGATTCAGTGATTGCACAGCAGTAGGCCGTCATGTAATTTAACTAACTCAAGAAGGTTGATTTAGTCACTATTTAAAGGATTCAGTGATTGCACAGCAGTAGGCCGTCATGTAATTTAACTAACTCAAGAAGGTTGATTTAGTCACTATTTAAAGGATTCAGTGATTGCACAGCAGTAGGCCGTCATGTAATTTAACTAACTCAAGAAGGTTGATTTAGTCACTATTTAAAGGATTCAGTGATTGCACAGCAGTAGGCCGTCATGTAATTTAACTAACTCAAGAAGGTTGATTTAGTCACTATTTAAAGGATTCAGTGATTGCACAGCAGTAGGCCGTCATGTAATTTAACTAACTCAAGAAGGTTGATTTAGTCACTATTTAAAGGATTCAGTGATTGCACAGCAGTAGGCCGTCATGTAATTTAACTAACTCAAGAAGGTTGATTTAGTCACTATTTAAAGGATTCAGTGATTGCACAGCAGTAGGCCGTCATGTAATTTAACTAACTCAAGAAGGTTGATTTAGTCACTATTTAAAGGATTCAGTGATTGCACAGCAGTAGGCCGTCATGTAATTTAACTAACTCAAGAAGGTTGATTTAGTCACTATTTAAAGGATTCAGTGATTGCACAGCAGTAGGCCGTCATGTAATTTAACTAACTCAAGAAGGTTGATTTAGTCACTATTTAAAGGATTCAGTGATTGCACAGCAGTAGGCCGTCATGTAATTTAACTAACTCAAGAAGGTTGATTTAGTCACTATTTAAAGGATTCAGTGATTGCACAGCAGTAGGCCGTCATGTAATTTAACTAACTCAAGAAGGTTGATTTAGTCACTATTTAAAGGATTCAGTGATTGCACAGCAGTAGGCCGTCATGTAATTTAACTAACTCAAGAAGGTTGATTTAGTCACTATTTAAAGGATTCAGTGATTGCACAGCACGTGATGCTGCCACCACTGTGCTTCACAGTGGGGATGGTGTGTTTGTGGTGATGTGCAGTGTTTGGTGTCCACCAAACACAGCATCTTGTCTGACGTACAAAAAGCACCATTTTGGTCTCATCAGACCAAAGAGCTTTCTTCCACTTGACCATGGCGTCTCCCACATGTCTTTTGATGAACACTAGTCGAGATTTAATAAGAGTTTTTTTCAACAGTGGCTTTCTCTTTGCCACTCTCCCATGAAGCTTTGACTGGTGAAGAACCAGGGCAACAGTTGTATGCAGAGTCTCTCCCATCTCAGCTGCTGAAGCTTGTAACTCCTTCAGAGTAGTCATAGGTGTCTTGGTGTCTCTCTCTCTAGTCTCCTTTTTGCACAGTCACTCAGTTCGTGAGGACGACCTGATCTAGTCAGATTTAGATGTGTGCCATATTCCTTCCATTGCTTGATGGATTTAACTCAACTCTGGAGGATGTTCAGTGTGTTGGAATTTTTTGACTCATACTTTTCAATTATCTTTTTTCTTAGAGTGTTCTTTTGTCTTCATGGTGTAATGGTAGCCAGGAATACTGATTAACCAGTGACCAGACCTTCCAGATTGATTGAATGATTGATTGATTCTTTCAAACATGCAGAACAGAACAAATGAACAAATGACAACAACACACATAATTACACATATCCAACCAATGCTAATCCAAAATCAGTTTGCTTACACCTATTACATGTTTGAATGGAGTAGGAAGAAGTCAGACTTATCCAGTCCTACTCCATGACATCATATTATACAAAATTTCATGCATCATTGGCTGCAAGCAGTATCTCTATATATATAAAACAGTGTTTCCTTAATGCCTTCTCGAATAAATCTTATTCTTGCATATATCTTGTATAACACATACATTTATATTTATATTTAAACTCCTCAATTCTAGTACTATTTTTGATGTCCACAGTTAAGTTATTCCATAGTTTGACCCCACTTATAGAAATACAAAATCTTTTTTTGGTTGTACGTATAGCATGAACATTTAAATTTAACTGACCCCTTAGATTGTATCCCCCTTCCCTTTCACCAAATAACTTTAGGATTCCACCAGGTAATAAGTCGTTCCTGGCTTTATACATAAACACAGCAGTCTTATATTCCACCAAATCAAAGAACTTCAACAATTTGGACTGTATGAAAACTGCATTTGTGTGATCCCTATACCCCATCTTGTGTACAACTCTTATCGCTCTCTTCTGTAATATGTACAATGGTTGAAGTGAACTCCTGTATGTATTTCCCCAGTTTTCAACGCCATACTCCAAATATGGCAAAATCAATGAAGAATACAAAATGTGCAATGCTTTAACGTCCAGCATATATCTAACCCTTGCCAATATCGATATATTTTTAGCTATTTTATGCTGAACATATCTGATATGAGATTTCCAGGATAATCTGTCGTCAACCATGACACCCAAAAATTTGATTTCATACACTCGTTCAATATTAGCACCCCCAATTCTCAATTGAAGTTCATTATGTGGTCTACGGTTCCCAAATACCATATATTTAGTTTTCTCCAAATTCAAAGATAGTAAATTACTATCACACCATTTCTTTATCTTCACAAATTCCTCTGAAACCCTTACCGAGAGTTGCCGTAAGTTTTCATCAGATGCCCAAATGGTAGTATCATCAGCAAACAAAACCATTTTAACAGTTTCAGAAACCTTACATATATCATTGATGTATAATATAAATAATTTAGGTCCCAAAACAGAACCCTGAGGCACTCCACATACAATGTCCAGCTCACTCGATTGGTATTCACCCAACTTCACAAATTGATGCCTCTGTGTCAAATAACTTCTGATCCATTTCCAAACACAGGTGTCTTTATACTAAAGTCACTTGATACACATTCACTACACTCTGGTGGTCCTCATTTCACTAATTGTGAGACTACTAGCGCCAACTGCCTGGACCTCTGTTGAATTAGGTCAGTCATTTTAAAGGGGATGAATATTTTCCATTACATATTTTTATTTAATTGACATTACTTTATAGAAACCTGTTTTCACTTTGACATTAAAGAGGTTTATTTGTTTTTTTGTTTTTGTTTTTTTGTCAAAAAAGCCAAATTATATTGACCTTGATTGATTTATAAAATCAATAAAAGGTTAAAACATCCAAGAGGGGGATTTTTTTTATAGGCACTGTATTTAGATTGTGGACCATTTTGTACTATCTCTATAGAACAGTACTTATAATATAGAGAACTTTATAGCACTTTAGATCCCATGTGTTTGTACTTACTACTACTATTTTATTCACAGAGTATGTGCAATGTTATAGCTGGAGTGGCAAATGCTATAAAGATGACAAGAGGTCTCAGGCAACTAATGAATGAATGAAAAAAGAGAACATTTACACACCAAATGAGTCTTTGCTGTTGTGGAGGTTCACCCTAATACTGTATGTCACATCTCAGCTCAGCAACATAACCTCTGCTGGGCACAGAGCAATGTTTTCCTTGGTTTTCACCCAAATTAATTTGTTTTAGGGGATATGATAGAATATTAGATATGATAGAATATTAAGTGTATTATATTAACAATTTATATTAACATTTCTATTATTATTATATTTATTATTCTGTTAATCCATTAACAATTCTTAAAACTTCTTTCTGATCAATGTTCCATATTTTTTTAAAACCAACCAGGATGCATACATGGAAGAGGAGGGACCCAGAGGTGACATGACCATCCAGTCAGGGCTCAGTAACTCAACAGAAAGCATTGACAGCATGAAGGCCTTGACTGCTGCCATAGAAGCTGCTAATGCACAGGTAAGTGCTTTTGTATTACTTTTTATTAGTACAAATTAACATTTATGCAGCAAACATGTTGCAATTTTGTTATAGCCATCCCAAAAATGTTTCCCAATTATGCAAACAAATGTCTAATAAAAGCAAAAATGTTCTCTGAGTATCATAGTCACTATTTATTTACACCAGCTTTTGTTATTCATGTGTAGGTCCATGGACCAGCCAGTCAACATGTCAGTAACAGCACAATGACAGTCAGCACCCCCACACACTCAGTCCTGAGCAGGGGGCCAGTTATTGAAGACCACCGGGATGAATACAGGAAAGATGCACTCAGGAAGGGCAAATGTCTCTCCATAGGCATCCAGGTATTTATGAGGCAGCAGTGAATATGGAGAGATACCAAGAAGGAAATAATGGCTTCACTTACTTACACATTTTATAGAACCTGCATACCTTTTTTTAATCTTGTTCACACCGAAAGAGGGCAAAAATGCCAAGAGCAGTTTTACAAAATACCATGCTTTAACTTATTAGTCATGATTATTTGGGATTTATCCGGTCTGCCTCCTATAGGTGGATGGACCAGAGGAGATTCCAGATCTAGAGGACCCATCCAAGTTCACTTCTGTAGGGGTACAAGTGGAGGATGACAGAAGGTGAGGAACACATTTTCCTTTACTCTTTGTTTTATTTTCTTGACTCTTTACTTGGTGTATAATTAACAATTTTACTAGCTATGAACAGGGCTGGAGAACACATTTATTTAGAAATATTATTTGTCCTAAAACAATTGCTAGGTGCCTGTATGAACAATGAAATTGATTTTGCACACATCACAGACTGGAGAAAAGTGAAAGTAGGTACAAAATTGCAAAGTTACATGTGTATGTCCTTCATGTACACTTGGATCTTACATTAAGATAAAGATATCTGCTCTTTTTTTAGTTTACAACTATTTGATTAGATGATATATATTCAGCCATTGCAGTGATGTGGTGCATTTTCCTTCAGACTTAGGTTTGAATCTAGGCTGAATAATTTCTGGCTGTCGTGTAATTCATTCTCTCTGGTCACAAGCAAACTCCCACACATTCATCTGCCAAAGTTATTCTTTGTTATAAACCCTAATAAATACTGTTGAGCTGTAATAGACAAAGAAAGGCAGCTCAGACAGCCTTCTTCTCAACCACATTCTCAAGCTAGATGGGATATATAGTCCCTCCATTGGGGGTGGAGGTCTTCGAAATCCACTAAACACATGTAGAGTTGAGCAAATTTCTATGAGCTGTTCAGTAACCTTCCAAAGTTAGAAGGTTCCACTGGAGGAAGAGAGCCACTTTTTCAGGGCTATGACATAATCTACATTGCTTGTCATGGATTTTTTTCCTTGTTTATTTGACAGGAACCATACAGTTAAACATAGTCACATTGTTACTGGTAAGTAGTGCAATAGATGATAGGGCATTTAGCTTATGTTAATGTGCAGCCTCTGATAAATCAAGGTTTACTGTAAATATATGTGGTGTGACAGTTGGTCAGGGTGTCCTTTATAGCACCCTAGCATACGCTTTTTCAGGGGCACTGAGCAGTGTGATATTTCTTAATATTAGAGCACACCCTCCCCATCTGTAAAAATGAAAACCACCAGGCTCATCTGTTAGTGCACAGACACTGCCCTGACCTCCATTTAACAGACATGTTAACCAAGACAGTCCAACAGTGTCCAGATCCTTTAGCATTACAGTGCAAATCCTATCCACATCTTGTGCCTTTGTGCAGAAGAGCAGCTTTTTTTTATATTTTATGTGTGGGGATTGGGGGTAATGATATTGTGCAAAGCTGTAGTAAACACCTTAACCAATAGGTTACCAATTTGTTTTAGTAGACATTACAGAAACTATTGCCTCCATAAACACAGTTGCCATGATCACAGCCATGCACGAACCTCTCCAACACTGTAATGTGGTGATTCTTGAAGTGGATACCAACAGCCTAGTTGTACGTGTAATATCATTGGTTAAAATGCTCAAAGAGAATCATCATCAAAAGTGATGAGAGCATCTGAGTATGTGACAAATAAATCTGTAAATCTTAAGTGTTAAAACTGATTCCAGATTGTTCATGGCCATTTATTCCATAAATGATTTTTTAGTTTTGTTTTTACTGGTTGTTTCCCTCTGCTGGTCAGGTATCGGAGGTTCCAGCGCTCCAACAGTGTGACAGCAGCTGTGCAGGCAAGTTTCCACTACAGATGTTTTGTTATTATGATGTAAACTATCACATTAAAGAAAGTGATTTATTATTTAATTCAGTAAAAATTATAGCATAGTCCAAGGATTAATATTGTGACATGGGACGTATTAAAGCATTTTCACTCTTTTCTACTGCCATTTACTTAAATGGAAAAGTTGGCACATGCACTGTATACCATGGTTGTCTGTCACTATTTGTATTTTGATCTAAATCCAGGATCTCTCAGGTAAGTGGCTGTGACTGGGCTAAAATGTAATTTGGTAAGAAAGTTTATTGCACAATGGTAAATCCTCACAGAGGAATGGTTCACAACATTGCCCAAGGACACTTCGACACGTGGACTGCAGGCACTGAGAGCTGAACCTTCAACCTTCCAGTTTGGAGACTACTGCTCTACCTACCGCACCACTGTCGCCCTGATATTAAGCATCTAATATCAGTGTAATCATCTGTCTTTACAAGCACAAAATCATTATCTCTTCCCATTAAGCACACTGACACACAAACTTGGGACCCACAGCAATAAAATGGCATTTTCACCCAGCCCAGTTAGACTGAACATAATTTGAAAAGAAGTGGACGTCTTGGGGTCAGATACAGACTTAACAGACCTGCATTATTCAACCACTTGTTAATTTAGGCAATTATTGACTTGTAATAACTTTTACATCCAGGCAGATCTGGACATGCCTGACTTGCTGGACACCCCTCTGGACTCCCCAGACACTGACATGGAAGTCCTGTCATCTGGAGCCATCTCTCGACAATACTCGCACGATGCCACCCCCTCTACTGTCAGCATACAAGGCTCAGGGAATCACTACCACGCCTGTGCCTCTGATGACTATGAAGATGTGGGCTTTGACCCATCCATCCTGCCCCCTCCAGATCCATGGATAGATAGTGTAACAGATGACCCTCTTGATGTCAGCTTCAACAGCTCTGCTATGCTGGAGGTATGTGGGAGCTGAATCAGTGATATCTTAAAAACAGATCTATGGACATTTAAGACATAGTATGTTTCTTTCAAATACAGTTGTCTTTAGTCTTACTAGCTGATTAATTCTATTAAATTACCGCTTTTTGCATACTTTCATGATGTTGAACTATTGCTAAAGCAATCTTTTTCCTTCCCTTTGCTACATTTCTTGGAGCATTACTGCCACTAACTGTCAGTTAGTGAAATAGCATAATACTGGCCGCAGCACTGTTATCACGTCACCGGCATCCTCCCTGTGGACTTGTGCACAAGGACATGATAAAAACAAAATAGGCCCTATTCATAAAACCATAGCTTCTCAGCTCTACTAGTGGTGGACAGCTCCAAAGGGTACATGTAACAGACTCATGAAACTTCCTTGAGCTATGTCCATAAGAGTAAACATCAAGTCAGCACTGATTTTTACATTACTATATATCATGTAATGCATTAAAGTGTTATTAAATCAATCTGCATTACAATGTAACAATAATATAACACTTACAAAATGTTTCTTCCTTAACTGTAATAGTAAAGCAGTAATGTAAATAAAATGAAGTATATAATATGATGGCCAGGGTTATTTTTGAATTGATATTTTATGTTACTTAATTTATCTCCCTCTGCAGGACTACTGATCTTGAAGATTTATGTAAAATGAATCATTATAGGCAACTGAATAGTAACTCAGGAGACATATATGACCTGTGTGTTTTTTCTACATTCTGGCTTTGTTAGATTTTAGTGAGTACATACAACCGCAAATCAGGAAAAGTTTGGACGGTATGTAAAATTAAAATTAAAACTGAAACTAGTGATTTGTAAATCATCTGTGTCCTGTATCACATTGAAAACAATACAGCTGCACATTATTTAATGTGATACCTCATCAGTTTTATTCTTTGTTCAAAATAAACACACTTCAATTCTTGTGCTGCAACACATTCCAAAAAAGTTGTGACGGTTGCATTTCAGGGCCAGTAATGAGGTAAAACAATGAAATGATGATTTGCATTTGAAAGGTGATATCAACAGGTGATTGCAATAACGATTTGGTACAAAGTGGCATGTGTGAGAAAATTATTGAAATGTTTAAAAACAATGTTCCTCAAAGAAAAACAGGAAGGGTTTTGGATCTGTCGCCCTCTACGGTGCAGAACATATTTAAAAGGTCTATAGAATCTGGAGGGATTTTAGTGTGTAAAGTGCAAAAGCACAAGCCTAAGCTGGATGACTGAGCTCTCTGATCCCTCAGATGGTGCTGTATCAAGAATCATCACTCTTCTATAAGTGATATAACCACATGGGCTCAGGATGACTTTGGCTCACCTGTGTCAGGCACTACAATATGTAGTTACATCCATAAATGCTGCTTAAAACTGTACTGTGCCAAAATGAGCCGTGTGTCCAGAAGTCAAAAAAAAACATCCAGAACAGCAACAAGTCCAAAAGCCAGGGTCTGTCATGGTCTGGGGTTGTGTCAGTGCCCTGGGCAAAGGGAACTTACACTTCTGTGATGGCTCCATTAATGATGAAACACACATAGAGAGTTTGGAGCAACAAATGCTGCCTTCAAGACGACATCTTTTCCAGGGATGCCCATGTATATTTCAACAAGACAATTCAAAACCTCATCCTGCCACATTACCAAGGCCTGGCTGTGGAGGAAAAGGGTGTGAGTGCTGGACTGGCCTGTCTGCAGTCCCCAGTAGAGAATGTGTGGAGCATTTTGAAACACAAATTGCATCAACAAAAACCCAGGACTGTTCTACCTTAAGACTTATTCGCAGGAAGAATGAGACAAAATGACACCTGACACACTGAATCACTTGGTGTCCTCAGTCCCTAAATGTCTTTGTGTTATGAAAAGGAACGGCAACATCACACCGTGGTAAATGCTTTACTGTCCCAACTTTAATTGGAATGTGTTGCAGCGTCATGATTGAAGTAAATGTTTATTTTGAACAAAGAATAAAATTGATTAGGTATCACATCATCAGTGTAATACAGGACACAGATTTACAATTCACTATATTCAGTTGTAATTTTATATACCGTCCCAACTTTTTCTGATTTGGGGTTGTAGATTGGCCTGTGGGGGTGTGCCTCTACATGTTCTGACAGCGAGAATAATTGAATGGCAGGTGGTGCAGCGGTCAATCTGTCAGAGAGATGGACGCTGGTTCCTGAAGCTGCTGCAGGCTGAGACTGACCGCATGGAGGGCTGGTGTCGACAGATGGAGCTCGACCAGCGGGAGAATGACCTGCCTGAAGATAGTATGTCTTTGTGTGTGTGTGTGTGTGTCATTACAGTGCCTTGCGAAAGTATTCGGCCCCCTTGAACTTTGCGACCTTTTGCCACATTTCAGGCTTCAAACATAAAGATATAAAACTGTAATTTTTTGTGAAGAATCAACAACAAGTGGGACACAATCATGAAGTGGAACGAAATTTATTGGATATGTCAAACTTTTTTAACAAATAAAAAAACTGAAAAATTGGGCGTGCAAAATTATTCAACCCCCTTAAGTTAATACGTTGTAGCGCCACCTTTTGCTGCGATTACAGCTGTAAGTCACTTGGGGTATGTCTCTATCAGTTTTGCACATCGAGAGACTGAAATTTTTGCCCATGCCTCCTTGCAAAACAGCTCGAGCTCAGTGAGGTTGGATGGAGAGCGTTTGTGAACAGCAGTTGTCAGTTCTTTCCACAGATTCTCGATTGGATTCAGGTCTGGACTTTGACTTGGCCATTCTAACACCTGGATATGTTTAGTTGTGAACCATTCCATTGTAGATTTTGCTTTATGTTTTGGATCATTGTCTTGTTGGAAGACAAATCTCCGTCCCAGTCTCAGGTCTTTTGCAGACTCCATCAGGTTTCCTTCCAGAATGGTCCTGTATTTGGCTCCATCCATCTTCCCATCAATTTTAACCATCTTCCCGGTCCCTGCTGAAGAAAAGCAGGCCCAAAACATGATGCTGCCACCACCATGTTTGACAATGGGGATGGTGTGTTCAGGGTGATGAGCTGTGTTGCTTTTACGCCAAACATAACGTTTTGCATTGTTGCCAAAAAGTTCGATTTTGGTTTCATCTGACCAGAGCACCTTCTTCCACATGTTTGGTGTGTCTCCCAGGTGGCTTGTGGCAAACTTTAAACGACACTTTTTATGGATATCTTTAAGAAATGGCTTTCTTCTTGCCACTCTTCCATAAAGGCCAGATTTGTGCAGTATACGACTGATTGTTGTCCTATGGACAGAGTCTCCCACCTCAGCTGTAGATCTCTGCAGTTCATCCAGAGTGATCATGGGCCTCTTGGCTGCATCTCTGATCAGTCTTCTCCTTGTATGAGCTGAAAGTTTAGAGGGACGGCCAGGTCTTGGTAGATTTGCAGTGGTCTGATACTCCTTCCATTTCAATATTATCGCTTGCACAGTGCTCCTTGGGATGTTTAAAGCTTGGGAAATCTTTTTGTATCCAAATCCGGCTTTAAACTTCTCCACAACAGTATCTCGGACCTGCCTGGTGTGTTCCTTGTTCTTCATGATGCTCTCTGCGCTTTAAACAGACCTCTGAGACTATCACAGTGCAGGTGCATTTATACGGAGACTTGATTACACACAGGTGGATTCTATTTATCATCATTAGTCATTTAGGTCAACATTGGATCATTCAGAGATCCTCACTGAACTTCTGGAGAGAGTTTGCTGCACTGAAAGTAAAGGGGCTGAATAATTTTGCACGCCCAATTATTCAGTTTTTTATTTGTTAAAAAAGTTTGAAATATCACAAAAAAATTACAGTTTTATATCTTTATGTTTGAAGCCTGAAATGTGGCAAAAGGTCGCAAAGTTCAAGGGGGCCGAATACTTTCGCAAGGCACTGTATGTCTAGATTCCAAGTGTGTATGTTGCTGCTGTATGCAGAAAAGATCTCCTATTTATGCCTCACCAGCAGTAGCCATAGCCTGAGGCATTATGTTTTTGTTGTGTCCGTCCATCCTTCCATAGATTTGGGTGGTAAAAGGTCAAGGTCAGTGACCTTAGTGGTTGGTGGAGGCATACAATCACAAAGCAATCATTGCAGTTTGAATATGATTTCTTAGTACAAATACATCTACTTGTAGTCCCTCTTCACAGGGTGCGCATCTGCATTATGAACACCTAAATCAAAAAGTGTGTTTTTGTGGACCTGAAGATGTGAAACAGTATTTCACAATAAAAGAGCAAAACTGACCAAAATTCTGTAAATACATAACTTGCTGCTGGGGTTCCTGTTTGCCCCCTTTACTTTATAATTTATACACTAACAGCTGCCAAACTATGTACTAAAACCAGCATACTATTTGATGATACAGTGACTGAGTCTTTTACAGCAGTATGAACGGGGCCATGGTGCTATAGTTAAAGATTTTGGTTTATGGTGCCATCAGCCTTTCCCTCTTCTCAATGTAAACAAAACTAAGAACATGATTGTTCTGTGTTTATTAAAATCTTCTCCTCATCAAAGACTGAAATCACTCTGGTCAACAGGGTTGGGAGCGTTACTTTAAATTTCTATTTTGATATATTTACAAATTACTTGTTAAAAATGTATTCAGTAGCTTAATCCAAGTATCACAATAGTAATGTAACTTGATTACTTTTTGTTACTTTTTAATTACCTCAATACCAAATATGGAAATAAGACATAACAAAATAAATAAATAAGAAGCTTTTACTTAAGTGTATTCTGTTAGACAACAAAACTATGTAGCCCTAAGAAAATGGGGAAACCAAGATTTTTTGTATCAAAAATGTGTCCCTTGCTCGGTGTTGTTTTTTTAAGAAAAAGCTGATTTTGATTAAGCAAGTTCAGGTAGTGACCACATAGTACAGTTTACAAGGTGAAAATAAAATCTGCTCCTTTTACAAGGCAAAACATTTGACACTTTGTTTTAGGTTAATACATAGTGTACACTAAGAGCACTCACACTGTTTTTGGAGTCCACCTACTGAACTAAAAAAAGAAGAACAACAAGCTAATGAAAAAAATTAAAGCAAAGCAAATATAGGCAGTAGACCTACTTATTACACTTATTACAAATTAAAGTAGTGAACTACAGAATAGTATCTTTCACAAGGCAAACATAAAATCTGCTCCTTTTACAAGATAAACAGAGCTTTGTTTTAACACATGGGTTGAGTATTTTTTAACACATCAGATGGTTTATGACTGGGGTCATTAATTGTTTGTCCAGCTATTTTCTTTATTATGCATGTTTCAATTAATAGCAGCAATGTTAATTATGCACATTTAATTTATATGTACTTTGGTAAGTATGCTATTCACACATAACAGTCAAATGCCTCCCAAACGTGGTTACAGTTAAGATAATGTTGGAATCAAAATTGTCTTTAAATTCTAAGTATGTTTGAACATGAATTTGTATCTGGTATAGAGGCTGTCAATGTGTTCTAAGGCAACAGGAATAGAAAATAATGAAAATAAAAATAAAAAGTAGAGCAATAAAACTGAGAACAAGAATAAACCGTGTGTGCATTCAAATAAGAAATGTCTGCAATCAAAAACAGGAAAGGAAAGAGATGAAAAGAGGGAGCTTTTATAAATATATGTACATCTATATACATTACAGCAGAGAAGCTTTCAGACTGATATGTACAATGGATATAGTTTCAGTTTATTGCACTGTGGTGATTGCTGTGTCCAGTCATACAGTCAGGGCTTAAGTGGAGGAAACTGTCCTTGTGTCTGGTTGTTATGACATACAGTGACCTGTAGCGCCATCCAAACAGTTTGTGTCCAGGGTGTGAGAGATCTGTAGAAATCTTCCATGCCCCCCTTTTACCCGTGAGGTGTACAGGTCCTCCATGGAGGGCAGGCTGGCACCGATGATTCTTTCTGCAGTCCTGACTGTCCACTGGAGGTTAGGGGAAACAACTTTTTACACAGGATTACCTACAATTTCACTCCAAACTGTTGAGACTTGTGAAGAGTTATAATGTGAACATGTGCATGGTAGGATATTCTTTATTGTACAATGTTAAAATTGTAATCCTGCTAATCCCCATTTTTACTAAGTGTATCAGTAATCTGATTACTCTGTCTCCAACTTTAACAGAATACAGTTACTTTTTTGTATTTTAAATACATAACCATTTTATATTTTCAGTTTCTCCCTAGGCCTGGTTATAAGGGCACTGATATACTTAAAGACAGCAAACTGAAATTTGACCAACATGTTATGTTTCATAGAAAAGCACATCAGCATTTATACTTAAAAATGAATTGCTTGTGACGCCATGACGACTTTGTTTTATTGAATCTATTTTCTCTTTTTGTTTTGTGTTGTGGTACAGAAATCTTAGCTTGTGCGGCAAAAGCAGACTTAGTCTTGTCAAGGGGTCTGCCAATATTACTGTGGTAAAAAGCATGTTTGTAGCAAGGCTGTGTCAGATACCGATAACCAGAGGAGCCAAATGCAGCACACGCTATCAGGTTAGTTGGCAATGAGAGGCTTTAATGGTAACATAACAGGCATATACAGCACAGGGCAATGGTGGAGGTGGTGAAGGCAGGAAGCAGGCCCTAGGACCCAGGACCAGTCTTTATTTGGTGTTCTTTAGGTGGCCTCCCATCCAGGACCAGTCTTTATTTGGTGTTCTTTAGGTGGCCTCCCATCCAGGACCAGTCTTTATTTGGTGTTCTTTAGGTGGCCTCCCATCCAGGACCAGCTCTGCTTAGCTAGCAGCCAAGTTCAGGTGTATTCAGAGTGTAGTGGCTGTAGGCAAGCAACAGGTAGACAGGCTGACTTTTTCTCTTCTTGGGGTAAATAGTGTAACAAAATTGTGCATAAGCACCAAAATACAAAAACAGTCACCTAAACAGCCACAAGAACAAAAATATGGTGAGCTGAGAAAACAGCCTCTGCTTAGGCAGCCTGAGGGCAAACAGATAGCCAAAAGTCAAAAACAGATCAAAATTCAAAACCGGTAAACAGGCAGGAAGCAGATCAGTCCTCGGCAACAAGCTACAGAGTCAGAATGGCCGGTAGGCCTGCGACTAGGAAAGTGGAGATACAGGCAGACAGGTAACAGGTCAGAAAACTGAGGTGCAGGCAGGCAGGCAGGACACAGATCAAGTGATAGCAGCAGACTATGTGGATGTGAGGACTGAGTGGAGACTGATTAAACAGACAGACTAACAAGCCACAGGTGTCCCAAATCAGCCACTGAGTGGCATGGTGAAGGTGAGGAGAGTGAGACAGTGAAAAGCAGGAAGTCTCCTAAAAATGAGGGCCCAAAACAGGAAGCCAGATATGGAACATGACAGCTGACGCTATTCTGGCTTGTTCCATTCGTCTGTTGTACAGTTTGTACTTGCTGATCTGATCATTGTTTTAGAGTTCCTGCCACAGGGACCAAGAGGACTAAATCTTTTCTGTCTCAGTTGCGGTGGCCTGCTAAATTCCAGACACAATTTTGACTAACTGAACACAATTTTAAAAATGTCTCAGGTATTTGCCTGGGGTTTTGTTGTTATGTGGTGTGACTGATAATGTTTCTTGTTTTTATTGTTGTTTGTCTGTACTCATCTAGCTGCAAACCAAATTTCCCCTCTTCTGAGGACAATTAACTTTATGTAGGCAACCTGTGTTTAATGTTTTATGATTTCCTATCTCAATAGTCGTCTCTTGACCTCTTGTGGCGTGCATTAATAAGAACCTTATAGTTATAAAAGAGGTAAGAATGAGTTTTGAAATGACATGATGTCGTTTTAAGGTTTGTGTATAACCAGACAGTGACATGCGGTACTACAAAGTTTTGCGATCAGTACCCAGTATTTCAAACGTTGTTTTTTCTATCCGAGTGGATCAGATCTGGATTTTGGGGAATTCAAAACCAACAAACAAAATTGGGATCACTCAGATATCCACCTGGATCAGACAATCAAATTCAAGATTTAATCTGGATCAAAACCTCAAAATGGGCAGTTCAAAACAAGACCACAGGATTAGGACAAGTTTAATCCAAACTGGATTAGCTTAATCCCACCAGAAGGGTGGATTTCTAGTGGATTACCAGTGGAAAAGGTACAGTAGATTTAATTTACAACTATATCAATATAAATAAGATGGCACAGCTTATAAATTGAAATAATACATACGTAATTTGTAGCTTTCTTATGCTTGATAAGTTTTCGTTTATTTTGTCACATTTGCAGTGGCCTCATGCATAAATCTCAGAAGAGTGTATTCAGTCGAGTAATGAGTTTGTGGTCATAGAATTATCTCAACAAAAATTATGCCAATCACAAATGTAATTTCAATTAAACAAAAAATATCCTCATCAAAAAAGGCACAAGTAAAAACACTATTATTCAGGATCTGGTCATCTTGAAAAGTCTGAATCTGGATCAGAGTATCAGAGTGGTCTTATCCTGAATTGTTTCGAAATACTGTGACAAAATCTGGCTGAGTTGGATTTCCATATCTGATCGGATCTAATTGAGATTGAAAGTTTTGAACTCCTGGTCCCAGGCAATTAAACTTGAGGAGCAAGGGTGTTTTAAAACCTGCAGTATATCCACATTCAGACAAAGTACCTGATACCTTAAAAGATTCCTGGGCTCCTGGAAAAACTCCTGAGGTCAAAAATGGCTAAATATGACATAAGCAGGATGACAGAATGTGTTGAGAACAGTGGGTTGTACATTTTCTCAAGAAGAGATGGATGGACTTTCTAAACTCTGTGTCTATGCTTGTAGTCCTCGGGAAGATGAGGAGTGCAGTAGGAAGTGCTCAGCTTCTGATAGCCCAGAAGTTTCAACAGTTCAGGGAGCTGTGTGAGGAGAACCTGGTGAGTCTGAAACACCCTTCTTCACACTGAGAACACAGAGTCAGTAATTACCTCTGCCAAGGCAGGAAACTGAGGTTTGTGCTCTCTCAGTGCTGTCTAGTTTAATATATCATTAGACCCTTTCCTTTTTATGTGATTTCACTCTTAAAGAAGCTAAGATTAGATTTACAAACATCCTCACATGTTCTTTACCTTTACTGTCATAGAACCCTAATGCCCACCCTCGTCCTGTGGCCTCAGACCTGGCTGGTTTTTGGGACATGCTTCAGTTGTCAATCGAGAATATAAGTCTCAAGTTTGATGAGCTTCACCAGCTCCGAGCCAACAACTGGAGACCTCTGGATCCCCCTGAGAGAAAGGTATACACACATACAGTACTTATACACAGTATTTATTTTGGACTGATTCTAAATGGTCTAAAGATGATTGATTTATACCCACATAAAGGGAGTTACAATAGTCGATACTACTAAAAATAAAAGCAAGTACACGTTGCCCAAAATTATTAAAGCTCACAAACTGTTTAACCTTTAACAAAAGTCTGAGTTGAAAATAATCCAGCTTTAACAATAGAATTAACCTGTTTATCCAACTTAAGAGTCCATAGTAACACCCAGGTCTTTGACAGTATGTTTAATAGAAGGATCTCAATACCCTAGGACAATATTCTGGGCTCCACAACCTCCACCAGGGTTGATCACCTGGATTTCAGTCTTTTCTTTATTAAAATGCAAAACATTTTAAGTCATCCAGTTTTTTTATACCCGCTAAACACTCAAACAGTTGTTTTAGTAGATCAAGAATACCAAGTTTCAGTGGGAAATACAACTGAAGATCATTCACTTAACAGTGGAAAGAAATGTTGTATTTCCTGATGACCAAGCCCAGAGGAAGAATGTACAATGAAAACAACATCGGCTCCAAGATGAATCCCTGTCAAACTCAGATGCATGTCCAAAAGAGCTTGATGATCATAGACCAGTGAGGATGTCACACTGCTTAACAGGTACAACAAGAACGATACAACAACAAGCATTGACGGGCACATCAGATGGCGGGCCATACACATCGGCGTCATCCAGAAATCAGAAGCATGCTGAAGCTCTTAGTTTGCTCACGATTAAGATGCAGTCACACCTGAGGTTCCTAGATGGAAGTCCTCTTTGCTTGTTTGATGAACAGGTGATAATGTGTTCAAGTAGAGACAGCATGAATAATAAAATCTTTCCACAGTTGCTACTTTTATATGGGGGGTTTAGTGGTGAATTTATCTTCCAAGAGAACTGAGAATCGCTGGCAGTCGAAATTCACAGGGGCTCATTTACAAAAGATCTTTTGTCTAAGGCAATTTGACTGTGCCTGCCATGGCAGAAGCAAAGAAAGTATTACCTAGGTTCTCTCACCTGGTACTGTTAGCGCATGGTTGTCTGACTTAGTCTATGTGGGGATGCACTTTTCCCTTCACATATGTCTGACTGTATCTTTTTCTGTTGTCTTCTGCCTGCTCTGTTGCTCTCTTCCAGCAATACTGTGACTCTGCTGGCCTCCTTGGTTGCTCTCATTGTTGAGTTTTTCTCTCCTGTGCTTCTTTGTGTTGACAGTGAAGGTGCTTGCAAACCCGCCACGCATCAGTCAGCATAACCGCAATGCCACCTGCATCGCAATGCCTTGACACCTCTGGGCCTCCGTAGTTCCATCATGTCTGTTTTTCCATCCATCTGTCCATGCTTCCTTCTGCCCTTCCTTCCTTTCTTCTGCCACCTGAGCTGCCTCACTGTGTGTGGCTTTTTGTTTTGTGTGCTGTAGCTGCCAGTGTCAAATTGGATGTACATGAGCAAGTGTGGCTTCTATTCCTTCTCCAGAAATACTGGACATTTCACCGTATGGGCCACACTGTTGACACAACGCTTTCGCAGGAGATAATAAAAATACATGCAGAAACTACAGCCATAAAATAACAAAACATGCAGTCTGAACTTTGTGCAAACATTTTAAACTGGTAAACAGATAAGTACAGTTGAGAGGACCAGAAAAACATGACTGAAAAAACAGGTGTAATATTCCTGTCAAAGCATGGCTTGGTGAAAAACAACAGCAAAGTTTCTTTAATTAAAGAAGTTATTCCTGGACAATGCTTTAAAATAAAAATAATAATAATGATTTCATCTCTCTATAGCCAGTAACCTATAGTAGAGGGGAAAGTGAAAACAGAAACACACTTTAATACAGTGCAAACTGAACAGGAATAAATAGCAGCTACCTAACTGATTGTTTGGTGATACTTGACAATGTATCCACTCAGTTATATGGTCATTTTGAGGCTGTAATATAAAAAAGGTGTTTCTGCTACAGTTCTTACAGAAGTAAATCATACAGTCTGCAACTAAGTTGTGCACAGTAAATAACAAAATAATATAAATACGACTATGTGTTGGTGTTTCTATTTTATGTATTATTCCACAAATCATCATCCATCCATCCATTATCTATACCACTTATCCTGAACTGGGGGGGGGGCAATCCCAGCTGACACTGGGTGAGAGGTGGGGTCCACCCTGAACAAGTCACTGGTTGCTGACACTAAGAGGCAGACGACACAAATCATTGTACTGTACTTAACTATTCTATTAACAAAAAAGTGTGAATCATCACATGCAGGGAACACGATAAGAATCCCAGAAAACAGCATGTAAATAGCTGCAGTATTACTGAAACGGTGTGTGGCATAATACAGTATGTTAAAAATATGGAGGGATAAAAAAGAATTACACAGAATGTCTAATATGTCTTACAACCCCAGTACTATCATCATCATACATTATATTATTGAAAGATTCAGAGAATCAACAGAAATCTGTAAACAAAGGAACAAGGCCAAAAACCAATGTTAACAGTTGTGATCTTCTGGCAACACCACATTAAAATACACACACAATGATGTAGTGGGGATCACTGCATGGGCTCAGGAACACAGCTGTCAGTAAACAGTTCACTGCTACATCCATAAATGCAAAAAAACAAAAAAACAAAACAAAAAAAACCATATAAACAAGATCCATGGAAAAATATTCTGTGGTCTGACAAGCCAAAAATTTTTATTACACTGCTCAAAAACAATTAAGGGAACACTTGATCATTGCAGTAGAACACCAAGTCAGTAAAACTTTAGGGATATCAGTCTGTCCATTTAGGAAGCACAAGTGATTGTGAATCCGTTTCATCTGCTTTGGTGCAAATGAAAGTGACAACACGTGCAGTGGAGTGGCAAAAGTAAGACAACCCCCAAAAAAGGGACTGGTTCTGCATGTGGTGACCACAGACAAATGCTCTCTCCTGATCCTTCCCAAGGTTTGTGTTGTGCTAGTGTCCTTGTCACTACCTGGAGCATTAGGCAGTTCCTGCAGTCCAGTCACGTTGCACAGGTAGGCCAATCACTCCAAGATGGCACATCCATACGTGCAGTCGCAAGAAGGTTTGCTGTCTCCCAGAATAGTTTTAAGGGCATGGAGGAGATACCAGGAGGCTGAATGTTACACCAGCGCTGAGGAAGGGCAACAACCCACCAGCAGGACCAGTGTCTGCTCCTTTGTGCAAGGAGGAACAGGAGGAGCACTGTAAGAGCCCTACAACATGACCTCCAGCAGCTACTGATGTGCATGTTGCTGACCAGACTGTCAGAAACAGACTCCATGAAAGTGGCATGAGGGCCCAACGTCCTCTAGTACGACCTGTGCACACAGCCCAGCGCCATGCAGTTCAATTGGCATTCAGAGACCAACGGAATTGGCAGGTCTACCACTGGCACCCCATGTCATAGCCAATGGTACCCTGACTGCTGTGAGGTACCAAGATGAAATCCTCAGAGCAACTGTCAGACCTTACCCCAGTGCAGTGGGCCCTGGGCTCCTCCTGGTGCAGGACAATGGCCTGTACACAGTTCCTGGATGACAAAGTAGTGATGTCATTGACTGGCCCTCACATTCCCCTGACCTAAATCCAACTGTGGGACATTATGTATCGGTGCATCTGATACCACCAAGCACCAACCACAAACTGTCCAGGAGCTCAGTGATGCCCTGATCCAGGTCTGGGAGGTAATCCCCCAGGACATCATCCACCGACTCATCAGGAGCATGGCCAGATGTTGTTGGGAGTGCATACAGGCACATGGGGCCACGCACACTTTTGAGTCACATTATGAGTTGCTGATGATGAAACTGACACAACGTGGATGACCCTGTGATTTTCAGTGTGATTTTGAATCCAGCCTCCTGATGATTTTGGTTTTCATTGACCATTGTTACAGTGGGGCAAATAAGTATTTGATACACCGCCGATTTTTCAGGTTTTCCCACTTACAGAGAATGGATAGTTCTGTAATTTTCATCATAGGTACACCTCAACTGTGAGAGACAGAATCTACAAAAAAAAAATCCAGCAAATCACATTGTTAGATTTATTTATTTATTGCATGAAATAAGTATTTGATCACCTACCAACCAGCAAGAATTCTGGCTCTCACAGACTTGTTAGTTTGTCTTTAAGAAGCCTTCCTATCCTCCACTCATTGCCTGTATCAACTGCACCTGTTTGAACTCATTACCTGTATAAAAGACACCTGTCCACACACTCAGTCTATCAGACTCCAACTTCTCCACTATGGGCAAGACCAAAGAGCTGTCTAAGGACACTAGGGACAAAATTGTAGACCTGCATGAGGCTGGGATGGGCTACAGGACAATAGGCAAACAGCTTGGTGGGCATGGCAGCCGTTAGTTATCTGAGATCTCCTGAGAAGTAAGAAAATGTTTGATGAAGGAGAGGGTGTTTGTAAATTGTATTGCTCACCAGAGGAGAATGTGAGGGACTTTTATGGGTTTCACATCACACCATGCTGTCAGGTTTGCCCGGCTGCGCTTGCTTCTCTCACCTTTCTTACTCTGTCTCTTAGCCCCTGATTACTGATCACGTTCACCTGTTCCTCACTCCCTTATCACCAGCTGCACTTGATTAGGCTACTAGTTACTCATACCCGGTTCACTTCTCATTCACTTGCCAGTTCGTTCTTGTCACTAAGCTATTCTTTTCGTGCTCTCTCTTTAGATGTTCTCCTCGTTTTTTTTTTTTTGTTGCTCTGCATTACTCCACGTACCCATTCGATTAATGCTTTGAATTAGTCCGTTTGTCTATCTGCTCTACGCCAGCTCCTGTTTTTTCTCCTCGGATTGTTTCCTCCGGCCCGTGGCTCCACTCTTCTCTCCCAGGCAGGTCAATGCACAGTCACCGGTTTGTTCTGCCATTACCTACGCCTCTCTGTGTCCTCAGTAGCCACCATCAACCACCGACCAGCCCAGGAGTGACCCTTCTACGCAGCTTGACCCACCTCGTCCATCTCATCCATCTCCTCGACTCCTCACCTCCTGCTGCTGGTCGACACCCAGCTACTCCTCATAATTAATTGCCACGGACTATTTGTTTGTATATATATCACAGCACTGTACATAAATAAATCACAGCTTGCACCGAAGTCGGCTACCTGGGTCCGCCTCTTTTTCCCGCTCGCTAACTTCCATGTGCGAACGAATTCTAACAGTAACACACTACACCATCATGGGTTAAAATCCTGCAGCACACGCAAAGTCCCTCTGCTCAAGCCAGCACATGTCCAGACCCGTCTGAAGTTTACCAAAGACCATCTGGATGATCCAGAGGAGGTATGGGAGAAGGTCATGTGGTCAGATGAGACCAAAATAGAACTGTTTGGTATTAACTCCACTCCCGTGTTTGGAGGAAGAAGAAGGATGAGTACAATCCCAAGAACACCATCCCAACTGTGAAGCATGGGGGTGGAAACATCATGCTTTGGGGGTGCTTTTCTGCAAAGGGGA